GGGGTTACATGGGGATTATATGGGGGTATACATCAATGTCTAGAGTCTAGGGTTTAGGTTACGGTTCTGCGGTTAGAGGCAAGGTTTTAAGCATGGGTTTAGGCTCTATTAAGGTTCAGTGCTTAAGGCTTTATGCGCTGCATTTCAGGACTTGGTGACTACAGGCCGGAATTACAGGTACCCACTGGGGGTCTTGCTAGTGCAGGCTGTAAAGTGAGTCGGGGCCCGCAAGCTCCTAATGTCCTGACACCCTACACCATGTCCCATTCAGTTGAGGCGCTTCGCATAATTCCAAGTACGGGCAAGGGATTCGATGACATGTCTGTGCTGCAGAGGCCTGGTTGATCCAGCAGAGCATTTCAAATCCGGCAAGCATGATGGGAAGTTTGGCGCCTTCGACGACAAGGGAGTACCAACCCAGACGGCTGATGGCACTGAAATTCCTGATAAGAAGCTGAAGGGTTTGCAGAAGGAGTACAACACGGTCAAGGACAAGTGGGACAAGTACCAGGAGGCCCTGGCGAAGTACAATCGGGATCTGGCAAAGTACGAGAGGTGGAAGGAGGGGGGGGACGAGGAGACCAGTGCCTCAGGGGTCCCGGAGGCCCAGCGCAGCGCCGCCTGCGAGACTGCGGCTTTGGAGGTCCTCCGTCGCCTGGTGGACCGGGCCGTTTCAGAGCATGCAGAGGAACTGGCCTTGGAGGTGAACAAGGGAAGCCACGACCCAGCAGAGCTCGCGTCACTGATGGTCAAGGTGGTCCTGGAGCATGAGGACAAGACCACGGACCCTGTGCTCAAGGTGCTGAAGACCGTGGACAAGAAGAAGCGGAGCGGGATGACAGAAGTCGGTGAGCTGCCTGAGGTCTTTAGGCTCCTAAAGGAGGACGAGCTTCAGGTGGGCACACACGTGTGTTTCGGAGATATCACCGAGGAGGAGATCAGCTTCATATCCTCCAGCCTGCAGGACTCCAGCCTTGTGCGGGATGGCCAGATTCCACACGAGGACCTCAAGACTTTCATTGAGGGGCAAAACTTGCAGCCTGCTACGGACGGGAAGCCATCATCCTTGGCTGGTACCTTAGTGGCCATGCGCCTGGAAAGTTGGAAGAAGGCCTCCAGCGTTGAGAAGCTGATGAGCCCCCGAGCTTGGCGGCTCCAACTCTCCGGCGGAAGTCTCCCTCTCGGCGTGGAGGCACCTCAGGAAGAGGCCCCCGAGGAGACGAACGAGGCGCCAGAGCCTGCACCCGCCGCTGACGAAAAGGGGGGCAAGGAGAAGGATAAGGAGAAGGACA